AGGACCACAAGGGCGGCAAAGCTCTCCCTCAAGAGTTTTAATACTGTTGCATTCCCAGGGCTCGAACACGAGACCACTAGTTAAGCTGAAAAAGACTCAAGTCATCTCATGCAAACGCTCTTACATATAAAAGATGAATACTAACTAATTGCAAAAAATTATCAAACCAATAATTCCATAAAATGCCCGCATATCCAATTATAATTTATATATATATATACCCACACTAGTACTCATACTCATTCTGACACCAAAAAGAACACATAAAAGACAAAAGAAAAAAATGAAAGCCATTACCTTTCTTCTCCTACTAATCATCACAACTATCCAAAAAAACCAGCAGGCAGCCTTCTCATCTCCGCCGCCGGACAACGAGACCATATACGAAATCTCAAAACAGCTGTGCTGGCACTGCCTGACGGAGTCCGTGCAGTTCCTGTACGGCCACAACCTTGTCCGCGCCAGGAAGTTGGAGCTCCCACTCGCGTGGGACCCACAGCTGGCGAACTACGCCAACTGGTGGGCCCGGCAGAGGCAGGGGGACTGCAAGCTTGCCCACTCCTTTCCCGAGGGGAATTTCAAGCTGGGGGAGAACATCTTCTGGGGCGGGGGCTCCGGGTGGTCCCCAATGGACGCCGTGGGCTCGTGGGCCGAAGAGGAGAAGTATTATGATTACGAGAGAAACAGCTGCGCGGAGGGCCAGATGTGCGGGCACTACACGCAGATAGTGTGGAAGAGCACGCGGAGGATCGGGTGCGCCAGGGTCGTTTGTGACGGTGGAGACGTCTTCATGACTTGCAACTATTACCCGCCCGGGAATTATGTCGGGGAGAAACCGTATTGATATGATTGTGTGGCCGGCGAAAAAGCACTTCTCTAAGGGTTTTTTTTTTTTTCTTTCTTTTATCTCTTTTTCTTTAATGAGTCAAAATTAAACATATTTGGGGATGTTATCATATATGACAGGTACATTTCTATGTTGATAGCTTCTATGAAGATGTTTTGTTCTATGAGTGAAGTGCTGTTTAGTCTTTGTAAATTGAAGCCACTATTGTTTATATGCTTGATAAGTACAAGAGCATTAGTAATTGGACTTTCATCGATCTTTCCATCCTGCTTGATTGTTTATAAAAGACATACTCACCGTAATTACTCTGAATCAAAGAGGTAGCATGTGGAATATTACACTTAATATTCTACAAGAAACTACCCGACACAGCAGGCACAAGAACCTCTGTTCGATTATGTTGTCTACTCTAGAATAGCTACAGAATTAAATTGGAGCAAGATACAACCTTGCAACTAACTCATTACGGCAGACTAAGCAGTTTTATTGGCTAACTCATTTTCAACCTTATTTCTACCTTTTGTAAGCTTTGAAGCACTCGAAGCATTTGTGGTCTTCTGTACAACACCCTCCTTTGTCTTCTTATCCGCTGCCTTCTTAAACAGTGAAGATAATGTTGTTTGAATGAGAGGCTTGTGATCATTTTCAGGAAGACCTTAATTAGCTTCCCAAGAGTGCGTATATTGTTTTGAAGCTTGATCGTTACTATCACTATCCACGTTGTTGATATCGAATACAACAGGGGAGTATCTATAGCAGCAGATTTTCAGAATCTTGTTTACGGACACACGTAGCCATTGATATCACAATCAACATGTTTTTCCACAATGAGGTCCTTTGGGAAATGAAGCTGCAACCCTTCGGGATTTTCCTCTTTTGTTCCAATTCACCGAACATCTGAAAATACACATATCATGTTGTCATAGTCATCACATGTGACATTCTTCCAACCTCTTGAGAACTGAAGCGTCAAGTATCTATTCTTGGGATAAACAATATTATTGTTAAATATTATTTATCCAATTCATATTTAAGATTTACCTCAACTTTAAATCAACTCAATTTTCTTTCAATATTATTTGTATAATTAAATAATACCAAACTCATTCTACGCAGTTTTAGTCGACACCACCCGCGTGGCTGGCGCCCATTTTTTCCAAGAGCCAATGAAACATGGCCATGTGGAAATTTTTTTGCTACTCCCACACTCAATTTTGCTATAGACAAAATTAAAATAAAAACTTCATTTAAAAATACTATTAAAATTAACAAAAAGAAAATAATTTTTAAAGAAAAATAAAACAAAAAATATTATGAGTGATCCACCGAGAGTTTCAGACCAAACAGGAACATTTATAGAAATAATAAAGAAAACTAAATTGGAAACACTAGAAAAATTAGAAAAAATAAAAGAATTAATAAAAGAATTACAAGATTTAGTACTAAAAAAACACGAAAAACATTATTTAAACCAATTCAAATAGAATCGTCAACAAGTTCTAGTGAATGACATAGATAGATTAAGCCAATTATTAGAAAAATGTAATATTGCAGAAACTAGAATGACAAAAATAGATGATGAGGATAAACAAGGTATAATCTACGGAATAGATAGTGACGATGAAGATGAACCAACATTTAATTTGAGTAATCAAAAACCTCATATAATGCTACCATTATCACCAAAGCGACCTAGAACAAATAACAATGAAACATCTAGTTCACAAAATAAGTATATAGAAAGAAGTTTTAGAATTTTTATATACAAAAATAACTATAGCTATCATCAGAAAACAATTAAGAAAAATATACCACCAGCATATCTAGAAAAAGAAAAAAAAAATCTATCTAATAGAATATTAAATATAGATTGTGCAACCAATGCAGAAAATTTAGGGCTTGATTGTTTATGAAATAATTTGTTCCAATTGAGTTATTTTGGTTAACTATAGTTAATTTTGAAAAAAAATGGTATGATTAGTTGTAGTGGAATTTTAAGAATGTATTAAAATAATATTTATAATAAAATAATTAAAATTGATTTGATGTAAAAGTAAGAGACAAATGATTGGAAATGATAGGTAGTTAAAATTATGTGAGTGGATGAATAGTGAAATAAAGTTGATGTTATGTGTAAGAATGATTGGTTTGTATTACTTAATTATATGAATAATATTAAAGATAGTGGGGTTGAGTTAAAGCTGAGTTAGATTTTGAGTTGAAATAAAAGTGAGTAAATTATTTTGTAAACAATCACCCCCTTAATAATCACTCTAATCAATTTAAATTACTAGTTCAAACTAATGATTCAATGATAAATGGAATGACATTAACATATTTTCTTAATTATATAAGATATAAAACATCCGAAGTATTATTGACTGTCTAAAAAATACTCGAATTTTATTAAATCTTCAAGCCAGTGGTTTAGAAACTAGAGCAGAATATAAAAGAGCAGCTTTAAATGAATTAGCTAAAGATTTATTAAAAGAATTTTTAGAAATTACGGGACAATAGTCAAAAGAAACACAAAAAGATAAGACAGTTAGATTCTTAACAAACATTAAGTTATGCAATGTATGTTACATAGAAAATTATATCTGTCAAGTAAGAGAAAATTTCTATAAAATTAAGGATCGGTCATGACTAATAGAAATTGTTGAAAGTAAACTTATGTATGAAATGAATAAATATATTCAGGAGAAAATCAGTGAAACAAGAGAAGAAAAAACTCTATAAATTTTAGAAAGATATGCGAAAGAATACAGAGACGAGCTTTGTATAAGAAAATTAGAACACCATGAGATGACTAAAGTCGATTCAAGATGTTGTAAGCAATTAGAAAGTGTACCACAAGAATTTGGTTGTTATAACCCATATAGAAAGGAAACATATTATAAATACAATAATAGACGATATAAACCAAGATGATATAAGACATTAGAAAACCATGGAAACTTAAATATAAATGAAAGTTTAGAAAACAAGAAAAATACTTAAGAAAACCCAAATATTGTCCTAAAGGAAAAAAGAATTGCAGATGTTGAAACTGTCAAGAAATAGGACACTATGCAAACGAATGTCCTAAAAACATGCAAGAAAAAGAAAGGAAGTTAAAAATGATATTTTATTTAGGTTATGAACCTATAGAAAAAGAATATGAAGAAGGTGAGCTATTAGACTTTGATATATATGATTTAGAATCAGAAACAGATAGTGATTTGGAATCATCTGAATCAAAAGATGAGTAAGAACAATTCATTTATAAAAGTTAAATTATTTAACAAATTTCTATTATCATATATAGACACAGGTGCAACAATATGTCTAGCAAAAGAATCTGTTTTACTTAGTAAATATTGGAAAAATTAGACAAACCAGTTATGGTGAGAATTGCAATAATAAGACAATAAGTATCAATTATAGAGCAACAAATTTAGTGTTGTTAATAGAAGAAAAACGATTTCCTTTACCAAGTCTTATAAACAAAATGCAGATTTACCATTTTTTTTTTTTGCCGGAACGATAGAGGATCTATTATAAACCAAAATGCACAGTGCGGATAAAAATACAAAGCTCCCAACGGGAAAAGAGAAGCAGCCAAAGGCTGAATAAAATAGGAGAACAGGTCTGACGACCGCCTAGAATCTCAACTCTAGCAACGCTAGAAACCTAAAGCAAAACTCACTAGACAACCAACACAATAACACAACGAAAAACTACAAGGCGCCCAACATGAGAATAGAGACAGGAGCTGATCCCAACAGGATAATAAAGGTGCTCCCCCTCAGTTACTGAGGCCAACGACCCAAACCAAAAACACAATAACCTAAATAACACAACCACAGAAAACACAACATAAAGAAAAACAATAGCAAATTACACACAAGCCCTTCCACATAGGCAAAGCCGAGACGAGCCAACAAACAACAATCTACCTCTGGAGGAATCCTTCAACCCGAGAAAGCCAACCCCCCCACTGCTAAAACGCCTAGTTGAGCCGAATCCGAGCTTCCAAATAACCCCAGAAAGTTGAATCTCACCTTAGCCAAAATCCCCACGAACTCGCCCAACCGTCGCAGCACCAAGTCGGCTAACACCACTAGCAATTAGGAGCCACCGACTGTCTCCCTAGAACCAGCACCAGATAAACAGGGAGAGGAAGCAAGTTTGAAGAGCCGCAGTCCTAGCCACTCCTGCCATAGGCCACGAGTCGCCGGAGCTGCACCTGACCCCGCCCATAGATTCCGCCCCTCGCCCAGTCCACCTCAACCCCGCAGTGCTCAATGATCGGGAGCAAGAATCGAAACCCACCGGAGCAGGCGCCCAAATCAGGTTGAACATAGCCATGGGAGAACCTGAAACCGGAAGGTCGCAATCGCCGGGAAGGGGCCAAGCGACCCGGGGACGCCTACCAGAAAACCTCAGATGCCTTGTGGAAGGCAACGGATTTGAAGGCTGAACGGCAGATTTGGAGGAGGGGGATGGAGGACGACGGGAGTTAAAGGAGTAAAATAAGGTTTTTATGCAGATTTACCATTAATAACTGGAAATAACTTTCTTAAATTATAATGTACATTTATTCAAAGATAAAATAGTATAAGTCTTAGATGTCAACAACTAGATACACAGTCTAAAAAATAAATACTACCAAAATATATAATACGTCTTCTTTCATACGGGGGCGATATTAAGTTTTACTTCAAATTTATAAAGTAATAAGTATAACATTAAAAGAACATGTTAATCAGTTATTAGAGAACATATGTAGCCAATATCCATTAGATCCAAATAAAAACACAAATAGCATGATAGTAAAAATTAAACTAATAGCTCCTAGCGAAGAAGTCAATGTGCCAAATAGAATACCAAATATGGAAAGAGATGTTAAGGAATTTCAAGAAGAAACTACTAAGATATTAGAAAATGGTATTATAAAACCTAGTACAAGTCCACATAGTGAACCAGCATTTTATGTACAAAATCATAATGAATTA